TTATTTTATCAGGGATGCCTGAGCTGAAATTCAATAGAAACTGAACATTATTCAAGATGTTTTTCATAAATCATCACTCAAAGTTGAAGGGAAATTTAGGCTAGATATTATGAAAAAGTTTTTTACTGTGAGGGTGGTAAGACACTGGAACAGGCTGCCCAGAGAGATAGTGGCTGCCCCAACCCTGGCAGTGTTCAAAGCCAGGCTGGATGAGGCCTTGAGCAACCTGGCCTGGTGGGGAGATGTCCCTGCCCATGGCAGGGGGAGGTTGGGACTAGATGATCTGTAAGGTACATTCTAACTCCTAAAATTCTGTAATTCTATGATAAAACATTGTCCTAGGTCACAATGTAGGGTGTAACCAATAGTATGTATTCTATTACCATCTTCACAAACTGTTAAAGCAGGTGGGGCAGTGATCATTATCTCCTACTCATCCCTGATAACTCTCTCAGGAAGCTCTGTTTAATGGGCTGTCAGACACCCATAGAATTACATAGTCCCATTGTGAGATGCTTCAGCCCAGGGGGAGGAGCCAAGCATTCCCACATGGATATAATCTGGGGTTTGTACCAGCACAGGGAGCCCTTACCTACTGGATCCCCAGAGGACAAGAGCTACCACTGGACCTTCAGGTGAAGACCAGATCTACAGGATCACTGCTCCAACAGAGCCATCACTCCAGGAGGACTGCAGCCACTATTTAATCATACTACCAACACCCTGACTGACAGGGTGTCAGGTTGCCTTCTGACCCTGTCAGTGGTTTCTTTTTGTACTGTTGCATTTATTTTTTTGTTTTCCCTATGAAATTGTATTTCTGACTTGGAGTCTCTCACTGGTTTGCTTTCAAAGCAGCGCAAACATAAACTGATGTTACTCCGTATAGTATTGCATCTTCACTACTAGCTATTCTTACTCTTGCGTTGCCAAAACATATTCACATACCTCACTGCATCCATCGTGCATTCCTGTACATTCATAAACTTCCTCCCTGTACTCCACACTGACTTTTAGACATTGCAGTCTTTGGACACAAGTGGCCTTTTAGTTGCTTTAGGCTGCTTGAGGGGCAAGTCTGCCTTTGCCATATGTACACCCCATTCCCTCCCCAGAAAACTTGGTTTTCTCTAGAGTGCCTTGCACTAGAGTGCAAAGACTTTGGCTCTTCAGTGTGTTAAAATAAGGCTACTAGAAAAGATCTGAATTTCTTCTACCTTTCCAAATTATTGCAAGCTTCAAGAAAACAAGTTAAAGTAAAATTAACCCAGAATAAGAAAAATCAAATCATACTTACCATTCTCTCAACAATGTAGCAAAACGTAACTGGATAAGTGGTTTTCTTTTCTTTTCAGTAACTACAAATCATTGTTCTTCTGTATTATAATATCACACATGTTACCAGGCAATGTATTTGCAAGAAGCCTTAAAAGTACCTGTTTCACAGCACATGAAAGCTCAATTTCTTTCAGGTAAGTATGGAAAAAGGTTTTAGTACTTGCCCAAATGCCAACTGAAATTTATTTCACAACGATAAGAAATGAAGTGTTATTATATCTTCCCTACTACAGAAATAATGTCCAAAGTTGAGTTTTCTTATAAAAAGTAAAATGAGTAAAATAAAGTCAATTACGTCTTAGGTGTTTATCTACCTTATATATCAAGTGGCTTACACTTGATAACACAAAGTAAGTATTCAGTATTTCTTTATAAAATTTAAGATAAAGGCCTTGTACATATGGCTTCATTAACACTTTGCACAGATTACTCTGTCATATCCATCAACCCAAACAGCACTTCTACAAAAAAGACACCTCCAAATGATTTCAATGAAGCACAGGATACTCCATTAGAGAGAACATGTTTTAATTAACAGTTCTAATACCAGTTACAGTGTACAGTACTTTTAACAAACTACTGTGTTGTAATTATACATGACAGGAGGAAGAGACCAAATCATACAGCCCTCACACAGTACAGACCCCAGTACAGGTGTATGTCAAGAACGGCTGGAAGATTTGGCTTATAACATATAATTCAACATGTTGATTAAAAAGTGGGCAACATATTCCAACAAGAAGTCAGACTTCTGACTGCACAAAATTGCAGCCAAATCTTAGTACCATTCTGAAATGAGGAACACATTAGGGAGTTAAGATACCCATTGAAACAAGCTGATCTGTAAGCAAGGTATTTTCATAGCAACGCTTTCACAGGTTTGACAGACATCATCCCCTTTGGTGGAAAGTCTAACATAACAAAACAAATTTTAATATTGGGCGGTTTCAAAATGTAGTTTATGAGGACAGGACATTCAGGTTTAGATCACCAACAGTCCAACTTCTCCATGTCCACAGAATACTATGAGAACTCCCCCACCAGACTGCGTTATCATTCAGTCTAAAATGCACATATTATGACAACAATCCCAGCATCAAATCACTTCAGGCAGTGAAGAAGTTCAGCTACAAGACTATACACAAAGCTTTCAAACCAGCTGGGAAGTTACAAAAGACAGGGCCTCAAGATAAACACTGTAATACAGGAGGAGATGGGATACAGACTTGTAGTTTCCTCTAGCTTCTGGCCTCTAACAACCCCAAACTACATCATAAACATACACTCCTGAAAAAAATTTGAGAAGAATTCTTCCTAGAATACAGAAATTCAAAGTCAGTCAAAACATTTTATATTTACTTTGGTAACACAGCTCTTTGTAGATAAAGCAAGCAGCAAAACAACAGTAAGAAAAACAATCTTGTTATGATAGCTGAATATTTTAACAAAGTTAACACATAAAAAGCATTTCTAGAAAAACATCTGAAAGCATCACTATGGTGAGAGTTGAGGCTGACTTGAACTAGAATGTGTAGGTAACTAGAAACTGACCACAAGCTGTAAACACAGGTCACCAAACTGAAGAAAGTGTTATGAAGCTAACAGAATGAATCTAGGACTGATCTCATTTTGACATCTTAGAAATTTTTTTAACTCATTCCTGCAGAAGAAGGGAAGATGTGAAATGAGCACACAGTCAATTAGAAGTTAAGACAGCAACAGCGTTATTGAAAAATCGACAAACAGAATGTGAAAATTATGCAGGAAAAATTAGAAGCTTGTGCAAGAACTTTGGAACCACTCCAACATTCAGGGCATTATTTAGACAACAGGGGAATGGAGATGAATCTAAAAACTAGGAGAAATAACATACAGTTTGCTTACCAAGACTGCAATTCAGCAGAAAAAAAAATTGGGAAGGACTCCAAGCTAGGACACGTTGTTTTCTCAAGAGAACTTTGGCACAACTACAATAAGAATATTATGGTTTCTTCTGTGAACTAAATTAACTGAAAGACAAATTGGCAGATCTATAGAAGAGAGTGACTGAGAGAAATTGCTAATTAAACTTCAAAGTTAATAAACATGCCCTCTTAACTACACAGATGGAATATCTAGAACTGTTTCATTACCATGTAGGAAAAAAACTCCTTTTCAATTTTACATATTAAGAGATGTTTAGTAATCCAGAGCAATTGGATTAGAAAATAAAAATAGCTTCCTAAAAATGAAGTGCAATACACAAGAAAAAAAGCACTGAGAACTTAGACTAGGTAAACAAGTCAGATCTCTGGCAGCAGCAATATTAAAACAGGGATATAAAGGTGTAATTCCCCATTTATGTATTTGCACTGGCAGATGCCTCAGATGTAAATCCACAGACTGTAAGAGGACCCCGTGATTAAGCTGTGAGACAGAAAAGTCCCTTAAATGTAGATCTGAAGCACAGTGCTGACATGACAGATGCATCCAAAACAGGAATATTCTTTTACTGAAAACATACTATAGTACAGAACATTGTTATGCAGCAGATTATGTAGTAAAAAGCATATTTTAAGTGCATTGTTTTAAACATTCCTAGTGTGGTGGCAGCCTCTGAGCTCTACAGAAGAGCAGCTTTTTTCCAGAAGAAAATTATGGCTCTTAACTGCAAAAAGCTATTGAGTGTGCATCAATTCCTGTAACAGTGCATTCTACAATCTTAAGCTTCTGAAAGAACAGACATTCTGTATCTTGCAGATTTACTTTCTTCCCGTGGTAGGTCTTCATATTCCTAGACTAGGGAAACCCTAGATCTAGGGAAACATCGGATGATATGTTTGAAAACAAAATGACTTGTTCCTTTCCAGGAAAAAAAAAAAAAAGAGAATGTCTCAATGTGCAATAGGAGAAAGGATTATATGGTATCATCTAATGGTATCAATTTAAAGTTTAGGTACTTTATATCCCAACTGCACTTATATTTCTATTTAAAATAATTCAAGTAAGTCAATGTCTGTGTTACAGAGGAGAGGTCAACTATACACAGAACAACACAGCTCTGCTATTTTCAGTTAGTCACACCAAAGCAGACAAAATAGACATCAAAACGATATTCTGTAATTGCTCATGTGAAACATATAAACATTTCTACACAAATGAAAGCTACAAAGCATAAACGAAGAGAGGATTTTTTTAATGAAATTCAAATTAATCCTATGCAGCATTACTTCAGAATTCTGTTCCAATTCAGCATTTGAAACGAGTTTAAATCAAAAGACAGTAAGTGACAAATGACAATCTAACACGGAATGAGTCCCTTTAGAATTTTCACAATGTCTATCTATAAGAAAACAGTTTAAAATCGAGTTGCTTTAAATACAAGAAATACCTTTGCTGACTTCTAGCTATTATAGAATGCCCCTCTTTATCTGTTAAACAATTAACATATAATCTTTAAAGCTTTGTCTTTGGTAGCATTTATTCTACCACCATATGCCCACTATGTTACATGTTGTGTACTTTATGCATTCATTACATAAAAGACACATTGTAATACATTTCCAATGAGTATTAAGAGCAAATTATGCCTCAAGTATAACTAAACTGATCACATCCATGTTGCTCACTTACACTTAAGTTCTTAATTACTAGTACTTGTGCAATCAAGAAAAAAAAAAAATCAATAAAACAATCTTAAAACAGTTTGCTTAGGTTACATTCTGTCACTGTTACCTAGTTGCCTCATTCATATAGTCCTACCAGTGGGTGATGAACACTAAAAAGCTTATAATTTCTTGAACATGTGTATTATTTAATCCTCATCCTAAGTATAAATTTGCAACACAGTAGTAACACTGCAGGTATAGAAATAATGCTTCCTAACAGGCATATGAAAAGATTAACGCTCTACCACAGTTGATGCTGGTGCATTTATATAGAAGGCTTCTCACGTATCAGTTCAATCTATGGGAGGTAGATGTTTGTCTATGAACTGTTTTATATCCATCATCTCCTGTTAAAAGAGAAAAAGTATGTATTAGTGGAAGTCCTCTACTGTAGCTAAGCCACTATCTATAATTTTTGAGAAATCGTGGCAGTCAGGTGAAGTCCCTGATGACTGGAAACAGGGAAATATAACCCCCATTTTTAAAAAGGGGAAAGCACAAGAACCAGGAAACTACAGACCAATCAGTCTCACGTCTGTGCCAGGCAAGACCATGAAGCAGATTCTCCCAGAAGCTATACTTAGGCACATGACAAGAAAAGAGGTGACTAGTAACAGCCAACACAACTTCACCAGGGGCAAGTCATGCCTAACAAATTTAGTGGCCTTCTATGCTGGGGCCACAGCATTGGTGGATAGGGGCAGAACAACTGATATCATCTACCTGGACTTATGCAAAGCATTTGGCACTGTCCCACATGACATCCTTGTCTCTAAATTGGTTTGATAGGTGGACCACTCGGTGGGTAAAGAACTGGCTGGATGGTCGTACGCAGAGAGTTGTGGTCAGTGGCTCATTGTGCACGTGGAGGCCAGTGACGAGTGGTGTCCCCCAGGGGTTGGTGCTGGGGCCAATACTGTTCAACATTTTTGTTGGAGACATGGACAGTGGGATTGAGTGCACCCTCAGCAAGTTCACTGACAACACCAAGCTGTGTGGGGCAGTTGACACACTGGACGGAAGGGATGTGCCATCCAGAGGGACCTTGACAGGCTTGACAGGTGGAACAATGCAAACCTCATGAAGTTTAACAAAATGAAGCACAAGGTCCTACATCTGGGCCATGGCAATCCCAGGCACACCTACAGGTTGGGTGGGGAAGTAATTGACACCAGCAACGAGGAGAAAGACTTGGGAGTGACAGTGGATGAGAAACTCACAATGAGCTGCAGTGTGTGCTCACAGCCCAGAAAGCCAATTGAATCCTGGGCTGCATCAAAAGGAGTGTGGCCAGCAGACCAAAAGAGGTGATTCTCCCCCTCTACTCTGCTCTCATGAGACCCCACCTGGAATAGTGCATATAGTTCTGATGCCCTCAACAAAAGAAGGACATGGAACTGTTGGAGCAAGTCCAGGGGAGGCCACAAAGTTGTTAAGAGGGCTGGAGCATCTCCCCTATGAAGACAGGCTGACAAAGTTGGGGCTGTTCAGCCTGGAGAAGTGAAGACTGTGAGGAGACCTCATAGCAAATTTTCAGTATCTGAAGGGCCTACAGGGGAGCCTCTGAAGTTGAGCAGCCAAGCTACATATTAATCATCAAGTGATCTGGATAGCACCAGGCTGGCCACAGATAGGGTTTGACTGCAGCTGAGGCCACAGCTTCATGTATACTTTAAACTTTTCAAGCCAACAGCAACAGCATGAAAAGCCAGCACCTTCATCCTGCTTCCTTAAGGAAAAACAATGGGGCAAACAAGGCTGGGAAACTAATCCATGTTAATTTTTAGTTAAGTCTCTGTTGCGAGAAAGAGCAGACTACTAACATATATATATAACATAACTGAGTGACAACTCAGCAGTATTATTGTCTGAACACACTAGTACTGTGCAAATGTCCCAAAGAGGCTGTCCAAAGGTACAGTTCCCACAAGATGCAGCAATTCAAATTAACAACACTGCTGCTGCTGACAAATGGCAGATCTAGCCCTCACCTCCTCTTCTGTTTCTTGCTTCTATTACCTCGTGTGAGCTCTGGTGCTTCAACTCACTACAGCTGCAAAAACTGAAGTCAGTAGTTTTTGCTGTTTTACCAAGTTCAAAAGGTTCAGAGAAGTTTCTGGTCAGCTCCAGCCCCGGTGCAAGGAGGACGAGAGGGCCACAAGGTCACAAGCAGAGGGAACTAGTCCACCCCTTTCTGGCAGCAACAAGTTATTACATCAGCTCAGCTGCCTGCTGAGCCAGAACCATAAATATAGGTTCTCAGGCAGCCTCTTCTGTAGCGTCAGCCTTCCCTCCCTATTCCTTCGATGTCTTCACCCAGAGAACTCACAGAATTCTTCTCCCCAAAATACCACATTGGATTTATGCTATGAGAATATGCCTTCCAATTCAGGTGTTTTGTTTGTTTATTTTTTAACTAAGCAAATAATAAAAAATGGGGGGGAGAGTATTTTACAGATCAACTATCCTAGTCCCCAAAAATGCAATCTTATGAGGAAGTTCTCACCAGTCATATAAACTTTTGCTTTACATTCTTTTTAGCCAGGCATTCAAGTCACTCATCATAAGTCAGCAGCATCAAGCATTTGTTATTGGGGAAAAACAAAATCAAACAACAAACCAACAAGAAACTACACCCACCCCCTCAAAATCCCACCAAATAAATATTTGAGGGAAAAGAATTAACCAAATCCAGTTGAAGCACTGTATATTAAGAAAATTACCTCAATACATGAGCTATGCATCATGCCAGAGTAAGTCTTGAAGGTCACGTTGGCTGGATTTATCATACTCTTTAGCTTCTCAACAGTAAGGGAACCAAACATTAAAGGAACCAGTGGGTCACAGTCCCCATGGCACTGAAGAACAGCAATGTCTGTGTTGACACCAGTGATAGGGCCCTGCTGGGGTGGAATTAGATGGGAGACGAGAGGAAAAGAGACACTAAGTGGAGATAAGGCTAACACCTTTGATATAACATAACCACATGGCACTATGCCCTGTGCTGTGACAAGTAAGCTGAATTCTGTGGGGATGAAAATACAATGTGTAGTCTGCAAGTTCCTTATGAAGTAAGTTCTGTACCCGACAGCACATTAAATTCAAACACCTGCAAATAACATTTGGGCAAAAGGCAGATAGAAAACTAATCTTCAAGGAAAATTTGTTGTATCCTTTCAGCTTTCTAGGCATGTCATTTTAAGCAGAAATAGCTACTGAGTGTTCCTTCATTTTCCCTACTTGCCAAAATCTGAAACTCCAAGGCCCTACGTTAAAAACTTCCAAGCTATCAAACAACTGTTAATACCCAGTAATAATGATGGCCACTAATCCCTGCATGAGATACAATCTTCAGATATACTCAACCCCTAAGTGCAAATTATCTTCGGAGAGAAACAAATACCTGAGGAAAAGAAGCCCGTAGAGGAAGCCAACAGCTGAGGGCTACAACACCTGCTAATTTTTGATGTGTTGTAAGAGCTGTATACAATGATAAAGCACCTCCCTGAGATAAAGAAAGGTAAGTATTAGAATGGTACAGTCATGTTCCTTTTAATGCTTGTTTCAAGACTTCTGATTTGTCCTTTAAAGGTCTTTTTCTATTCCAATCTATTCTTCTTTAGAACCAAGATGAAACCCAGTATTTATGTACAACATTTATTTTGCTTTTCCTCCCCACCTCCAAATCCATATGATCAATTCAGAAGTAAACAAGGAAATCTACTGTCACAAACTACTGCAGGGAAAAATAAATAAATAAAGCATTATTACTCATGACAGCATTATCACTACTTTAATATTTCAATTTACTTGCATGCAGACTGGGGAGCTGATGTATGGACCAATTAATCTACTAACCTACCTACCACAGATGTCTTACAAATACAAAAGGAAAATTTTCCCAAATAAACCACCAAATATCTACCACATTCAAGTTAAATATATTAGCAAGACTTTCAAGTAAAGCTATTTATGTCATGTGCATGAAAGTTTTAAACAGACCATTAATTTTAGTACTGTTTTTACACACACACACGTTCATTTTCCAGTGAATAGTAACTATTTCCATAAAACTAAAAAAGTTCATTTGTAAAAGCAAAGGAAAATTGACAGCTTAAAATTTTAGAGGCTCTTCTCAATTAATGTCTGTATTTCCCACATTAAGAAAGCTAGGTTTCTTCCCTACGAAAAGATGCCTTACCTGAGAAAAGCCTCCCAGAATAATTCGATTAGAAGGAATTCCATTTTTCACTTCTTGATCTATCAGTGCTTTAACTGCAACATAAGTATAAGGGCCAGTAGTTAAAATCCACTCCATTCCCTAGAAGGTCTAGAAGAGGAAAGAGACCTTCTTGTTGGCATCAACAGAAGGCTAGTGAAAGGAAAATCTAGTCTGCTGTACATTAAAAAGTAACAAAGTATCTACAGCACAATCAGAAATTTCAGTGCTACTATACCATTTCCAAAGAGATAAACATGCAAGTAAGTCTTCCAAAAGCCCCACTGCTGAGAAGATGGTATCCTCGGCAACACAAGTGGATGCTTACGCAGCTCTAACCCACTGTGCTACCCCAAAACTCCTTAAAAAAACCAAAATGTGTACTGGTTCCCATGTATATTTCATATTCGAGTGTATGAAGTGTTTATATTGGTAAATTACTCTACTTACTCAAAGTTTAAAAAAAACAAACAAAACCCAACAACCAACCATTTAGCTAAACTTTGGTCAGCGATGGTACAACATATACATATTATTTTCCCTAAAAACATTATCTTTGGAAAACCTGTTTCAGATTGATAATTCATTTTGAAGAATACACGGAAGCACTTTTAAGGCATAAAAAATATTCCTCAGCATACCATTCTCCGCCGCCTGCTTGATCCCAGCTTCATCTTCCTGTGAATCTGGAGAAAGTCCAATGATATCAAACCTTACAAAAACATCAACAAGAGCATTACTCATTAGAGCATCCCTTCCACTTCCTCAATACACAAAAAATAAACTTTGGATGCTTTCCAGATAAAAATATTAGCTGACATATTGTTTGGTACCAACTACCCCTAGATTACAAGAAACAGTGGACAATCTGTGAATGTAGCTAAAAGGCTAGATTGAGTCAACAAGGCTTTTCTGAATTTTGACATCTTCTGTAATTTACTGCAGATTTAGCAACTCAAATATGAAATTTGCTCCAAAAATAT